GGATTCCTCAAGAAAATTCACCTGCCTTGGCCTGCGCAACCTGGAAGTATTCGGCCCACATCCAAATCGCGGAACGTTTTTCTTTCTATAAGGATTATTGTATCGTGATTTAAATCCTAAATGGATTGTTTGGTGCATAGACTGGCCTCAGACGGGTGAGGAATATAACAATAATGATAATATTAACCTAAGTATGAGAAAAACTCCGAAGGATGCCAGTGAAATGAGCCCCAACGGATGTCGAAAAAATAGATATTTCTTCCAAAAAACTTCTGGAATATTCTGACAAACATGCCAATGACACGGTTGTTGAAGTCACTTTGTTACTATATTAGCCCTAGTAAAAAATACCATAAAGTAAATCAATTCATTCAGTAAAAGTTCACGCATTCATTTTCAAGTTTTCTCTTACACTTGGGACACTCTCCGAGTACGCGTGTTTGACAGCGCAAAAAAGTCAAACCGCGCGCGGTGCAGTCAGTTTTGAAGTCTCGCTCGCATAGATTTCGTTTTCCTGATGATGCTTTTCTGTCGTATGAAGTTCTTCGGGATGCACAAACTGGGATTAAGGTCGTTCAGAATATATGCATTTCAGGTTGTCCTATCCTATTGTTGCTCATTATTCACGATCGATTAGTGAACAAGCCGTCAGACGGACATGTAGGAGTTAGTTTTCAAGATTTGTTGTACGCAGATGTGCAACCAGAACAATTGATCTTATGTTAGCATAGCCATGAACTGAATACGACCACGAGAAGCTTGGTCGTTTAGTGGAACCTTGCAAGCTTTAAGAGAGGGGCGATCAATGACAAGCTGACGGTCATTCATAAAATACTGCTGCCTCAAGAAGTAGGGATCGCATTACCGGTGACAATAACTACAGGGGTTTTCGGCTGCTAGCTTAAATCAAGTAATGAAAACTATCACGACAAATGATTGACCTAATTCCTAGTAGAATTCGTTAGGTGTTATGAGAGGCCATTCGAATGGAATGTATTTATTGACTTCCTGATCTAATTAAACCAAGGTTACACTTCTTTCGTTTTTGCTCTTCTGCCTAATGGCCAAAGAATAACACCAACAGAAGCCGTGTATTGTAAAATAACTCATCGTGTACTAAATATGGATTTAATCCGTGCCAACCTTAGTGCCAGGAAATAAGCTTGGTTTGTACCTAATGCTCAGTCCTCGATTCAAGGGCAATGATTTGCATAGTGTTATAACGGAATACTGTAGTGGTTACTGTTCAAGGAAATAACATCTTCGAATGAATTTAAGTCAGTGTCTGTCATGAGCAGCTGTGTCACGTGTTTAGACGATGAATGGGAACTGATAGACGAATGCGTACGTAACAGGTTGCCACTTTAAATCACAATGTTATGCTTTATCCGTTGTCTTCAAATCCAGCAAGAAACAAAACTTTTCAATCCAATTAGCAGTTTATTTACAAACGAGGGATTTTTACAGCCGGTCAATAGGGTTGATAACCAGGGAGGGAGAGTAGATTTGTCTTAGAAAACGGAGAGGATTGTATTTCTAAAAGACAGCACCAATTAATTACAGTTGCATCCAGTAACAATGCTTACTTTGCTTAATGTGATTTTCTTGGTTTTCGGCAGTTGAAGCTGAAAGAAATGTCACCACAAAAAAACGGAGACACTTACCTTGCGCTAGCTTTCGTCTCTTATTGGAGTCCTCTTCCATCTTACATACGTGATCACTATTAGACTCATCTGAGCCATTCTCAGTCGCATCAATCTTCGATTCTTCCTCAGATAATTTTTTCTTGGAAGTAGTGAGTAATTTGGACTCAGAATCATCTTTTCCACGCGAGCGTCTCCGTTTTCCTGTGGGGATGTTGGTCTCAGTGGTGCTTATAGCTGGGTTCATTTCGTCCTTCTTTTGCGAAGCAAATTTGGCCTTCATGGTGGAAATTCTGTTTTTGAAGTAATCGGTCATTGACATGGTGCTTGTAATGGTCTTGACTCCGAAGTCCGGAGTTTCGGTTGTTCGCTCAGTTTCGGATAACTTTTCGGAGTGGACGTCGATAGTCTCATCTTTTACTTCGTCTGTGCCACCCAGTATGACTCTAAGTGCTTTGGGATCGTATTTTGACATATCTTTGGCTCTGACGAATTTAGAGTAGTGCAAGCGATTACTGCTCTTCTCTGAAATATCTTCCAATGATGTGGAAGAGCTCGAATGTTTCACAGACGAATAAGACTTGTTAAGTGACTTCAAAAGCTTTGCATAATCGTCCAATTGTTGATTACTGCCTAGCGCATAGTCTATCTGTTTTCCCAAACCACGACGATCTGTCTTAGCTGAGGCCTTGTAGTGATAGTATACAATCAGCAAGTTAACATACCTTCAGCGGTTTTTCAATCCCATCATTGTTCTTTCCCAAACCAGTTCCTGGAGTCCAACCCAACCGTTCCAGCATTTGCCGACCAAAGCCAGATTTACTATTGACCCATAGATTCCCGCAGGCAGGGATTATTCGAGTATCGAACCTTCTTACGTGGCTCTGCCAGCATGTGGATCAATACAGATCTGAAATGAACAGAACGCAAGTGTTGAATATGTGAACCAAACTGAGGGATAACCTATATCAAACAAGCTGCACGCACCAACCATGCGATTATTGATTTGTGGTTTGTTCATGAGCTATGTCATATGCTGATGCACCGAGAATAAATCTGTTTGGCGTTTTCTCAGAACGGGGGAAGTTATGAACGTAGCGACTGGAAACAAAACTCCAATTCAGAGGTGACATCTTTCAGGCAGAGATGCGAGGAGTCCCTAATTATCGAATCGGAATAAAGCTTTAGCAAGTATCTCAGTGTTGGTGTGCTGGCGCGAACAGATATCCTGCCAGTGCTAGCTAAACATAATGAATCATTCTACGTTGGGGAATCCTTGGTGAGTCCGCTGTCAGCTTATACTGCTCACACACTTCGCTCGCTTCGAACATCACAGAAGATGAAGTGCCGGATGT